ACGAGCAACCTGCGGTGGGCAGCCACAACCCACAGCCGGCGCTTTTGCGCTCTCAGTTTCTACGGGTTGCAGAAGACGAAGACTTTCAAGAATACCAAGAGCAACACCAAGATCCGGAAGAACAGCAGGATGCAGCAGTGGCTGCACCGGCGACTCCGCCATTTCCACCTCCGCAACACCCTGAGCCAGATTCATCGGCTGAGATTATGGCAGCAATTACGCAGTTTCACAATTCGTTGCTTGAGTCGAATGCTAAACTCGAGCGCCTGATACAACAGGCTACAACGGTGTTGACTACTCAGCACGAGGCTACCACGGCGATCCTTTCCTCGTGCAAACAGCAGCTCGACGTACTTGAAAGCCTCATCAGGCAAAACGCGCCTGATTGGTCGTGAATTTGCTACTAAGGCAAGCCGGTATAAAAAGTGCCAGGTAGTGCATCAGTCTCACTACTCAACACATGTTGCTTTCAGACAATACCATAATTCTGCCTTCTGAAGTTTTGCCTCACAGTGACGCCTATTCAAATCCCGACATCGAGCCATGAGCGACTCACCTCTTCCGCCAAATACAGTGATTACAGATTCGCCACCCGTCGATGAGGCACGACGTGAAGCTCTCTCCGCAGCCCTCATGGAGATTTTGACACAGCATCGGGATTATGAGTCCGAAACCGGAAGTGAACCTTCCACATTCAGTGACGAGGCTCTACGCGATCAATTAGCCGAGTTTATTCTGCAAACAACCCGGCAGATTACAGAGCTAAAGCAACGAGTGGAAAGACTCGAAGCTTCGCAACAATAGGTGATCAAACATGATTTATACCACCATTGGGTGATTGCAGCAGAGGGTGAAAACAACAATCGTTGTTTTTGCCAAGTGAGACAGCCAGTGCACTTTCTTCACATGTACTTGTATGCAGCGATTGATACACTCTTTCCCGCAGCATTTTGCAAAACAACCAGTTGTGTTAGCACCATGGACCGCCGCACCAGATCACGATCTCCCACGGCATCACAATGGAGATGGCACTGGGCCACCAACGGCTCTTCATGGTGGCGTGAGTACTTCATCGCATCTGCAGAGTGGATACGAAAGCATTCGGAGCAACCTGATCAGCTCCCGACTTCAACGACTCCTACCCAAAAGGAGCCAGCTTCCACTACTTCAACTCCTACATCCAACAAGAGAAAGCGATCAAGAACTCCGTGAGCAGCATTGCTGAGTTGACAATTAGATGCATACTTGCTGCCCCCGGCAGCCAACAACCACACAGCAAAGCTGTGATGTGAACCCCATCATCCCTGATGAGGGCCAGCATTAAGAGCACCATGTTGAAAGATCATGCCAGCCGGTGAGGTTGCTCAAGTGACGTTTATTTGTGTTTCCCTCTCTCTCTTTTCCGACGATCAGCGCATGCGCATGCTTCAATGCAGTTGTGACTCCGCAGCCATTTCTCGGAACTACAGTTGTTGTAACATATTTAGGATCGCACACATATGGACGAAGACGACGACAGCAGCCTATGGGGATCCGAAGAGATTGATGCTTTTCTGAGGAAGGATGACACCGCCACATCCTCCCATGCAGTCAGTCACACACACAAGCAAAAAACAAAGCACACAACGAAGACAAAAAAGAAGAAAGACAACAAAGACAAAAAGGACAGAACAATCGTGAAAACAAAGAAAACACGCAACATTTCACCAGCATCCCATTCCACAACACAGCAACAACGCCAACATCCACATACTACAAGGCGAAAGAGGACACGCTCTTCGCACTCAACATCATCAGCTTCACCTATGGCAACGCCACAAGTCGCTGAGGACGCACACCGATCTCCATCGCGAGATCCTTGGTCTTCTGACTCGATTGCACCTTACGATGTTGTGCATCCTATCATTCAACATAAGCGGTCCAAAACCGCTTGTGCAAAAATGCTGGTACGTGCAGGGTTCAGATGTAGATGCCATTTCAAGATCATGAGCGACTGTCCCAACAATCTCGATGTTGGAACCTAATTCTCAGGACGGATTAGGGCTGCAAGTTCCGCTAAGCGTGACAAAAAAGCCTTCGCATGCGAGTGTCAGCAAGACACTACTTGGTTGTGTCTCCTGAGCACACAGCATATCCATGTTGTTTTGCCTTCCTTGTTCAAGCGTTTGTCAGCTGGTAGCAGCAAAACATGACAAAGCGAAAGGCTGCTGAGGCCGGCCTTCCATGGTACTCCATGGCAGGACAATGTTTTCGGATGACTGTTGAAATTCCACCCGACCGCATTACCAGAGACAAGCACATGCTCTTACACGTGGTGCTTTGTCTGGGTGACAACGTTCTACAAGCTCGCAAGATCTTCTCCTACCGCATCAAGGAGATCACCGACAGAACTCCTAAAATCCCTGCTTTCTTCTTCGAACAAAACCGTCGACGACTACATGATTGGGATTCAGTCACCACATTAGCCACGCTGAAGCCGGTGCTTTTTGTTAGAACATGTTCGGATCAGGAAACACGACAATCACCCGACCGCTAGTGACAGCGAGAAAAGTGCGCCAATCACTTTTTGCCATGGATCAGACATTTCATTCTACTTGAAGCATACACGCCCCATAGGGGCTGTGTGTGTGTGAACCTCCCTAGTACATGGGAGCAGAGGGTCACTCCTACACTGCTTGCAATTTTGCTTTGCAACACAATCAGACATTTGACACTCAACGATTCAAATGTTGCAGGGGGATCAGGCTTCCAGTGACTGACCTGATCCAACGAAGCTAGGTCACTGGAAGGGAAGTGATTGAGGACGCTCAGTCATGTACCTGCGCAATTTTCGGCAGCCCCCTGTGGTGCCAAGATTAGTGTGAGGACAGGCCCCCTGTGGTGTCCAGATTATACAAACAAGTTGTACGGTTGCCACAATCTGACAAACTTTTACAACATGAACAACATGCCTCTCTCTTTCCTCTTGCACTCGTACTCTTGGCCGAATCCATCAGTGTGATTGCGTGGGAGGGTTAAAGGGGAGCTTAAGGGGGGCTTCCAATGGAAGGCTTTAAAGCTAAAAGGGCTTTAAAGAGGTGTGTAAAGAAGAGCTTTGGACGGCTGCTACCATTCTTTGCTGCCTTAATGACCTTCGGACAACTTGCACGTAAAATGATATTCTTTTTCGTTTGTCTTGCCACGAGACTTTGTCGACCTATCTGGCCCACTTGCGACAGAAGCGTCAGGATGCAAAGGTGGTGTTTGCGTGTCTACAAACAATATGTCTTGCTTGTTTTTTGTCCAAAGCGGGTGGAAGCGCACAGAGTCGCTAAGATCACGAAAGCAAAGCAACTAAGAGCGTCAGTAAGCTTCATGTCGCCTTTCTGGTTTGAACTATTGCCCCAGCAGCGAGTATCTGTTGAGCAGTGACAAAGCTTTGCTGGCTTTCAGTACGTGAGGTGAGTGAGTAAGCTTTGCTCTGACGAACGGTTGTCTGCGCGCGGTGCCAGCCCTGCCGAAGCAGTGGGTAAGAGATTTTTGCTGTAACCCGAATGCCTTGCTGTGAACCCTTCAAGTTTTGTCTTGGCAAGCTCTCTATGCCTTGGCACCTCCAGACTAGCCGCGAAGCCGTGCAGATACGACATAAAGCAAGTGGTCTTTCTAGAACGTTTCGTGTTTTTGTTCACGTATGTTTGAAGACATGCGAATCTCTAGCACATTGCAGCACTGGCTCTGTCACTTGAGCTTCTCGAAAAGTCCCACCCGCCCACACCTAGGTGCTCGCCCTCGGCCACAGCCTCAGCCTCGGTCTTGCCTTTTGCTGACGCCAGACTCCTTGGTTGCTTTTAGTTCAGCCCTAAACTCTGGCAGAGCCTAGCCAGCATCCGCAAGGCCAGATGCTTGCACAAGTCGAGACTGCTTCTTGGCAATCGCCTGCCTGAGGTTGTTTCGTCTAGCCTCTTCGCCTCCTTTCGTCTTAGCCTCAGGCACTTTTCGACCCTGACCCCCTTCGGTTACCCGGCCAGTTCTACTCGCCAGGTACTCTCGTCTTCGAGCACGCCGACCTGTTCTGACGACGCTCAGGATGCCTTTTCCGTTTCACATACGTTTCACGGAGCACGACTTGAGGTAAATCGGATCGCCTTTGCCTTGCTTTTCCGGCACAACAGCCTCACGTTTGCCTTCGCCCGTAATCTCAGCCTCTGAGACTGGCCTTTTGGCTCCTCCGGAGCCTAGGCATTGGCCTCTAGGAAGTTTCACTGACTTCTCACAAAGCCTAGTATCACGGGGGAGTTTATGTCTTGGCTAGCCCTGTATGCCTTGGCACCTCCGGGCCGCGAAGCCTTTCAGATCAATACGGTATAAAAGACGGAAGCAAGTGGTAGAGCAGTGCAAGCCTTTCTAGAACCACGCAAAACGTGAATTTGTGATTTGTTTAGTTCTTGGGACACACAATGGCACTAAGTGAGATTATCGCAATGTAAAGCCGAAAATTTGTTTCTTTGAGGAATATTTGTGATGCTGGCCAGCGTCCATGCTGCTTTTTGGTTGGTTGCTATTTGCCGGCTCAGTTTGTGAATTAATACGTCTTGTTATTATGTTTTTGATCATTTGCCAACGATTTCATGGAAATCGAGCAGCCTGGTTGCTTTTTTGGCACGTCTAAGCAGCATAATCAGCGCATGAGTTGCTACAAAATCGTTTTGACGTCGTGCGGTTGTTGACTGAATATTCATCATTCTGCAATGCCGCGTTCGCAGGATGTGGGGAACATCATTGTAAAGAGCAACATCCACAACCCTCCACTTGGGGTGCGTATTTACAGCTAGACTCTAGACTTACCTTCACATTCGCACACAACATGTGGTCGACAATGGAAATGCAAGTGCATGATCAGCATGATCAGCACACCGACATCAAGACTTCACACTACTTCAACTTGCGTTTGAAATCAAAGAAGCTAAAAACTACTTGTATGGCGGGTGGCTATGCCCGCTGATTAGGAAACGGCGGATGGGATGCAGAAAAGGTCCGGCGCCCATACAATGTTCGCACGTACTGCATGTAGTGTCATGTGCTCCAGAATGGTTTTGTTCTCTCTGCCAGGATCTCATGGCATCGGCCGCCCCAGCTTGCAATTCTTACCTGTGGGGTGTGGCTTGCTCTCGCGGACAGAGCGAAGGCAAGCAGCACAGGTATCCAGCAATCATCACATCCAAGAGCCTTATTTGCATGAAGCCGTTTCAGGTCTCGTCAGTGCTACCACCGCACGGCAGCACCGCTGGTGGCACGCACATCGTGCTGCTGGGAAGTGGATTTCGAGACCCGAGCGGTCCCGACCCCTTCGGCTGCTGTTCTGCACGGTGTAAGAACGGTTTAAGCAGAAGGCTTCACACCACATCAAAGACGGGCATGCGGTTGCAAGTCGAGGGTTGAGCTTGGAGCTTTGAAGCATCACGGTTTCGGCAAGACACGCTCTGACAGCCAAGGCTTCCAGTCGGACACCTGACTGAAAGCAGTTTTGCTTGGCACTGGCTGAATGCGTCAGCAACGCTGTCGCTGTAGTACGCTTGACCGAGGTTTCCGTCGGTGGCGAGCCATGCACCATTCTTGAGGTCGGTTCCCACAGTCACCGTCGTGCTTGATGTGGATGCATGAGTTCCGGCATGCATTGCAGCTGGGGAGGTTGATGCCTGCAAGAGTGTTTGTTCCAGTCATGGCGAATGCATTGTGACCGGATGGATGTCGATGTAGGACTTTACGACCTCGGAGCAGATTCTCTGCGAAACGCCTGCTGGACATGAAGGTCCACCAGTTGAGGTCTGCCTCAGGCGTCTTTGCTTCGCAGTTTGATGTCCGTAGCCGTTGCAGCTGTCAGCTTGATGCTGGACAGGTTGCATGCCGATGGACCATGTGAGCCGAGCTGTGCTGATTGCAGATTTCAATACACAGAGGCTGGTTTGTGTAGAGTCGGCTTGTCTACAGTCTACAGTGTCAGTCAGAGTTTTTTGCAGGAGGAGACCCCGTACATTTCATGGATCTCCGCACGGGCGCTTTCTGCCGGAGATCAGATTGCTTTCGGCGCCGCTGAACCTGGCGCCTTGCAGGTCTCGGGTCTCGACCGCCTTTCGGCATAAGTGGGAGCACTCAAGGAAGAGGTCAATCGGATTTTGCACGGGTTCGCTTGTCGCTCAGGTGCCCTCATTGAGATCGGCAGTTTCATTTGCGATGCCGGGGCACATGAAGTGCTGAATTCAGATGATTTTTTCCTTGAGTGTCCCGGCGCACAACATATAGGGCAACTTGTGCAGTCCATGACTCAAGCTGCATGACCGTTTTCACTGAAGGAGGCGGACTTTGAATTGTGTTTTGCCGGACACCGCTGGACCTGGCCTCTCGTTGCTGCGGATCCGGGCTCTGCCCATGGGTTTGGATGATCCAAACTGCGCGCACTACCCTTGCGCCGCGGCCTGGAAGCTGAACCGCTCACCCCCCCCCGCTTCAGCTCAAGAGATCCCTGTGCCTCAGGTACAGACCACAGCAGCCAGCCACGGGGCTTTGGATTCGCTGTCTTCCGCGCGTGGCAGGGCCAGGCAGAACTGCCGCCGGCATTTCTCGACGGCGACTTCAAGCCATACGAGCCTCGGAGCACGAAGGTTTTGCTGCACCGAAGCCGAAGCCTGGAGTTCTCAAGAGCCGGAGCCCGCCAAAGCTTTGAGGATTTGACAATTCATCCCGACATCCTCGGGATCAGCCCAGGCCTTGCACTTTGGTAGGCAACTTTAAAGGCTCTATATTTGCTGTCGATGGTTTGATATAGTTTCAGAGGTTGTCCGGGCCGAGCTTCCATTGGCAGGTTTTTCCGGCATTCTTGGTGGAGCGACAATCAACATATCTGGAAGCGCATTCGATCCGAATGTGAGCCAAACGACAGCCACTTGGATTCGTGAGGGCGGGCCGGAATCATCCAGAGTGAAAGCACGTAGAGCTTGGGCTCCCGATGCAGGTCATTGGGTCAGAGCATCGCTTTAGGTCAGCTCATGCATGCATCATTGCAGGCGCCTGTACCGGCAGCTGTGATCCGCAAGTTGCAAAATCCTTGCAGTCAAGATTCTGTCCCAACGGATGTGGCATACATCCCCGTGGACAAGCAAGACACATGGATTGCTCACTCTGACTCTGTGGCGGCCTGCTTTCATGTGCTGGGTTCAGGCGTTCGTACCTGCATGTTAGGTGATGGTTGGCACAGAGCCTTGCCAAATTACGCAAGTCCTGCCGGGGATGCTGACGTGTGAGCTGGCGTCTTGGCGGGCATGCAGCCTATCTTCCCTCAAGCTTCAGAACCATCCCGACCTCTCGTGGGTTTGTTCGAAATTTACCAAGCTTCAGGACAGCAAGCTATAACAGCGGGCTAGATTGGAGGTTTGTAGTCTTTCTTCCTCCAAAACACGCTGGTCAGCCGAGCGACAGGCAGTTCAGGGTCGGTGTCGTCTTTTGAAGTTCGGCTAAAGCGTTGAATCTCGATTCTCCAAGGCAGACCTGCAAGAGAATGTCAGCTGCATTGACTTCGAGGTCTTTGTGGGTGGAAGTCCCTCTTCAGGCAGGTTTTTGCATGTGGGAGCACTGACAACGTCAGTCTTCACCAGACATTTCATGTCCAAAGCCAAACCCTGCAGCGGCGCCGTGAAGCGCAAAACCTTAGTGCTTGACCGTTGTTGTCGGCTGCCGTTCGGGCAATTTCAGGGGCCAAGCGATGTGTGCTCGTGGGGCGCTATCCGCCCTGCGACTGAGCTCGTAGTGCCTCCATTTCAGGTGCGAAATCAATCCAGTACAATGCGAACGTCATGGAAATCGCTTCATGCCCCCATGCAGAGGGCAAGGGTGCTGACTCGGGACGGCAATTTACAGCTTCTTGGCTGTGCGGTGGGGGGGAGGCCTTTCACTGATTCAGTCCAACACAAGCGCATCTCGTTTGGAAGGCTTATACGTCGAAACAACAAGGGCCCGGGTTCAGTTTGACTAATCATGCGGCCGTGCGATAGTTTTACGATTTGAGTGTAGCGGGACGCCATCCGAGTCTGAGGTCAGCATGAACATCACGAGCCAACGTGGCTACTACTGGACCGAGGACTCCTGCCAGGCTGCAATCCGGCTGCAAGCTCCTCACACGAACATGCATGCCTCCTCGAAGGGGACTGAAAATGCCAGAACCAACACCTCTCATCTAGTTTGGGCTGGGGTATGGGCTTAGGGTTGAGGGTTTATGCAAGCAGCGGCTCCTTTTCCATGCAAGCATGCTGTCCAAAAGCTTTTAAAATGGATTGTCGTGGGATCTTGTTCAACAACAGGGTCGAACGTGAAGCCTTCAACCATTTTTGGAAACACATGCCAACGCTTTCTGATCAAACTGCGCGACTGCACACTATGGTATGGATCAAGTCTGCGACTTGTTGGTGGCAAGGAAGGGCATCACGTCAGGGGCGAGATGGTCGAGAGTAGCTGCTCGGTTGCCGGAACCCATATCCTCGTCGTGTGTATCTTCGACTGTGGTCGCGCTTCTCCTATGGCACGGTGTGAGTATACGATTGTATGTCGAAGCCAACGCAATTGAGCACATGGCGCTTCGGAATGACGTCTCGAGGCGAGGAACGACTGACTTTCTGCTGTGCTATGGATGGGACCACGTGCGAGGGTCCTCGATTTGGCCAGGCGCAAAAAGTCAGATGTTGCCCTTGAGCCACTAGCGGTGGCGTAGGGCAGCGGGCAGCGGGCAGCGGAAGCCGCCAGAGGCTTAGGAGCTCTGCAAGTTGTGCAGGTGACGACATCTCTGCCAACTTATTGGGAAGGATGGGGAACCTGGGTCTCTTGGACTACACGAAGCGGCAAAGGAAGGTTGTTGGATACGTAGATCTGTTGTGCCGGTCGTGATGCCCAGAGAGAGACTCGGTCTTGCCACTGAGGTGCAGATTGGAACGACGACAGAAAATCCCATGTACGGATCATGCAACTCAGAAGACAAAACGTCGGAAGTTTTGCGAGGGATCCGAGGTCTTAGTCTGCCTTTCCGTCTCGCTACCTTTCCTTTCTGCGAACTCCCGACTCCGCCGACTCCAGCCCCGGCTCGAGCTGAGGCTTCCCGCCGCTGCCGCACCGGGACGCGCTCCGCACCTGCGAGCTGAAGGGCATGAGGCGCAGAAGCGCGGCACTCTTCGCTGACGTGGCTATCCCCCCAAGATCCCCACCCTTTAAAACTTCAGGGTTTCGGAGAGCCTCTGCAGGTTGTGCACTCGCATGGAGTTGAACTCTGGCCTTTGCTGTTCGGCCGACTGCAGCTCCAGTGCCATGGTGAGACTTCGGCTCTCCGTTTGTCTCCAGGTCTCGAAGGTTACTTAGGGTTTGAGGGTTTCTCCGCAGAGCGGTTTGAGATTGCAGGGGCCGCTTCTGCGGCATGGGAATTCACCCCTTAGGCGGACTCTTCAAAAAAGAGTGACATGGCGACTTGTCATAGCTCGTTACAGTACTTAGGCCTGCCTGTAGGCAGAACGACCATCATGAATCGCAAAGCTTCCGCCGCAAGCCACAGGTGATGGCACAGCTGCATGGACGTCGGACGAGGGCTATTTGCAGGAGCTGGTCATCACTGCAGACGACGGCGAACCCTGGCAGGAGGCAGGGGCTTTTCGCATCGTTTCCTGAACCTTAAGGCTCCATTCCCGCTGTGTACGAACACCTGTTCCTGCACGCGTTGTGCAGGAGCTGTGGATCCGCTGTGAAGAGAGGTGCCGCTTGGCCAGACGATCCTAGAGTCACGCCCGTTACAGCCTCCAAGCATCTCCAAATATCTCCGCGCCTTCCGAGGCGGCTTTCCGTTCAATGTCACGTATCCAGACCCGGGCAACGAGACCACAACGACGACAACCAAGTATTCACCAGCGGAGAGACTCGGTTGTTTCCTGTGGGGAGTATGGCGTTGCAGCATGCAGGATAACTACCACAGTTCATGGCCAGTTCCCACTTTTCAGGATCGCTCTTTGGGAGTTTGCTCCATGGCTCCGCCCGGACGACTACATACCTCCGGAGGAACAGGAGGCAACTCTACAGCAGCTGATCGGCTTGACTCAGCAACTAGATTCTAGACCTCTTGATCGTGGTGCTACGCAGTTAGAGCCCAGTGTAATGCATCGTCAAAGATCCGGACCTGGTCAATCCGGGCTGACTATCATCATGCCGGCCTCACGAAGGAGTGTACACGGCCTCAACAATGCCACGCCAGGATAGCACTGAAGCCGATGCGAGACACCAATTCGGAATGTCCACAACGGAACCCAATGCCCTTTGACATTGCCTGTAGAACCGAGTCTCACACCTCCATCCTTTCTCTGGGCTCGGGCACACTGCACACACTGATGCCGGCAGCAATCGAAGACATGTCACGAAGAGACCTCCAATCCTAAACTGTACTTGTTCCGTCCCATGATATCAGGTTCGATGACCTTTTGTATCACCTTGTCTTGCACTATTCACTATTCGTTTTATTTGGTTGACCATGCTTGAACTGAAGCCTTCTTGGAGGGCCCGGTGCCTCTGGGGCCACCGGTTCCGGAGCCGCTGCGCCCCTTTGAGTCCCCGCACTTGCTGGCGCCCTTTGCCGGGAACCGAGGCGAGGCTTTGTCTCTGTGGGATGGTACTGCGCCCTTAGAGATGCCTAGGGGCTAAGGGCTTCTAGAGAGATATTTAGTAATCAGGGCTTCCGAGCATCGAGCATCGACCAGTTTTGGCCATGCCTTTATCGACATCGCTGTTCAGGGTTTGGAGTTTTGCGGGGCTTGATCTTGTAGATCGCAGAGCTGGCGTTTGAAGACTGTCGTTGCCCATTCTGGTTCTGAATGCCGGGCTTTGTCGGATTTAGAGTTAGCCAGCTGGCCGTTCTCTTGATGCGGCTGTGATGCCGCTGGCTTTCGAGGAGTGCTCGACCCCCGAAGCCATCAAGCCACCTACTCGGAGAGGCCTGCGCTACAGTGTCTACGCAAACCCGGGCAACCTGCCTGTCCACCGCGCCCTAGGCCGAACAAGGGTGGCCGATTGCTGGGCTTTGAAAGGGATTCCTCGAACGATCCTGGGTGGTTCGGGCAGCAAGCGCTGAAATCAGGGCTCAAGGATCCATCCCCTCGCTCGACAAAAGCCTGCCTGGAGTATCAGGCCATCAAGGGCTTTGTAGCTCCTTGAGCGCAGGTTCTTCAAACGCGGGATATCCGCAAAGCCCCTTGATGACCGGCACGATGGTGGATGTTCTTCGAGGTCCAACGGGCGTTGCCGGGGTAGGCTTGGGCTTGCGGATCCCAGATTCTTCAGCAAATAACGTGCTGCGAGGTCGCGCGAGTCAAGGGTGAGGGGCATGGGATGTCTTCTGTGCGACTCCATCCAAAGGTTGCATGGCCAGTACCGTCGAAGCTATTCAGGAGCCCTTGCCCACGTCAAGTTCGATCCCATCCCGCAGTCTGCCCGATCTGCGAAGCGAACCTATGCTGCTCTCCTCAATAACTATATGTAGCGGGGCCTGTAATCTCTTCTCCCAAAAAGTACCCGCCTCCCCCTCTAAAATGTAGCAGCCAGATTTTTTACTTTTTGGGCTTAATATTGGGGATCAGTTTTAGCATCTTCCAATTGCTCGGTGTGCAGTCCTACGTTCCTGCAGTTGATGCAACCTGCAATTCCCTGTCAGTGCCTACAATCCTGCAGTCGTGCGCCCCCTGCTGGTCGTAACTCTTGCAATCAGCTCCACTCGTATGTCCTACTGCACACTCGCCGTGACGACCACAAGGCCAATGCTGGGATAATCTCTAGCCTTAAACTCTAAGAGGGAAAGGAACTCAACTTTCGAGTACATTCTCGCTCTTGCAATAACCATCCGTTGTAAGCAGTTGTTCTGTAGTTACGTGTCACGCGAATGCATGTTTACACATTCGTGTGTGCGCGCAAGCGCGCGCAAGGTCCGCGCAAGCGCGGACAAAGGGCTAAAACTAGGACAAAGGAATATTGGACAACGCCCAAATGTGACGTTTCGGATGATGGATAACCCCTACTAAGATAGTGCGTGTGGCTTAAGTTAAGATATACATGATACTAAGAGGTTAAATAAGTTAGCTAAAAAGATAACATAAGTTAACATAAGTTAGAAAAAGTTAGCTTATACAGGTTTAAAATAACGAAACGGAGAAACAACAAGAATCGAGACGCAAAGACACACCATGGCAGACAAAGGCACAAAGGCGCAAACTTTCCGAGTTACTCGCAAGCTTTCTGCGACTATTTACTCACGCAAGACGTCCGGCAAATATCAACTGCTTTAAAAAGAGATGCAAACCTTCCGGCTCATGGGAGTGCAAGGCTTCCAGCTCATATAGAGACTTAAGGGCAGCATCGCATGAGTGCATGCAGTATGCATCCCCGGACTGGCTGCAGTCTTTTCCTCAGACCGCTCGCTGCGGCGACCACTGCAGAGTCAGAACAACATCGTCAAAGAGTTTCCTTCCAGCATCCAGCAAGGCGGCAGCAAGAATTGGTGCTGCTGCAGGCAGGCTCGCATTCTTTGCAGTGGTTCTGCAAACACTAAACACCCAGGCTCTGTCTTGACTTCCATGAACGCTTTGACCGAGATCCAGATGATTTGCTTTTCCAGCCAAATTTCTTCCACCAAACCTGCTTTGCGGTGCAAAGGAAACCAAACGACTTGGCCAAGCTCAATCTTGTAGGGCCCAGAATCCAAGCGATTTCCGTCGCAACTGAAACCGAAGGGTTGAGCTTCGCGGATTTCGGAAATCTGCAGACTCCAAAGGGAGTGCAGCACGGACACCACCGAATTGTGTCCCTTTCCGGACAGATGCTCGATTTTGGTCTTTGCGGCGCGATGTTTGCGCTCGAGAACGAAAGCATCCAGCATCCGACAGTGGTCTCTGTACTGCTGCACTAAGTGCAGCATGTAATGTGTTTTTGGCCTCATCTTCTCCAAGCCGTAGACCTCATGAAAAGCAGCAATGTAGGCGTTGATGGCGTTCTGGAAACGGCATGCCAATGCTTCCGCATGATTCCGCAGAGCTTCAGCAGATTCAGCGTGCTTCCGCACAGTCTCACCGTAAGGAGTGAACTTGATCTGCATCCACAAAGATAGGACGGAGCCGAGAAGGAGAAACGCCTGCAGTTCCTTCTTCATGTCAGGACAAGTTACGGTTGGAAAGACTATGAAACGAATGAGGAAGTGAAGCAACGGAGCAGCTCCAAGCTGGCTGGATGCGGAGACTTTCCAAGTTCCATCTTCAGTGAAATATTTGTCTCCCAGCTCGCGAGCAAATTGCGCCCGGCCGACCTTGCGAGTGCTTCTTCGGTGCTTGATGGAATCATCTGTGCAGGCTTCGGCTATGCGGTCAGGGGTCCAGCCCATCTTCTGCAATGCCTTCAAAAGAAAGCCGACATGCCTGGAAAACTGTCCCTGCACGAAGAAGACATGCATGGGATCGAAGTAGTGCGTCAAAGGTGGCACTTCGCGCCGAGTAGCATCGTCCGTGAGCAAGCTTCCTTCCAGAGCATTCCAGCCAACGTCTGTGACAAGTTGCTTGACTTTGGTTTTCCTGACGAAGACCGTGGGCAAACACACGTAGCTTGTGATGTTCGGATTGGTATTTTCTGGGTAGTATAAAATAATTAACAAAGGTGAAACAAAGGTAAAATAAAGGTGATTGAGGAAAGGTGAAAAAAAGGTGAGGGAGGATAGCAAAGGTAAAATAAAGGTGATGGAGGAAAGGTGAGAAAAAGGTGAGGGAGGATAGCAAAGGTGAAACAAAGGTAAAATAAACGTGAATGAGGAAAGGTAAAAAGAAGGTGAGGCAGGATAGCGGGGGGGAAGGGGGGGGGGGGAAGGGGGGAGGGGAGGGATGGCGGGGATGGAGAGCCCCCGCACCCGAGTTACCTTTTTACGGCGGCGCAGCCCGGCCGGCCACCTTTTTTTCACCCGAAGTCCGAGTGGCTGGCGGCCACCTTTTTTCCACCTCTGCCCGCACCTTTTTTTCACCTCTGCCCGCACCTTTTTTTCACCTCTGCCCGCACCTTTTTTTCACCTCTGCCCGCACCTTTTTTTCACCTTTTCTGTAGGGAAAAGGTGAAAAAAAGGTGCGGGCAGAGGTGAAAAAAAGGTGCGGGGGAAAAGGTGAAAAAAAGGTGCGGGCAGGTGAAAAAGGTGCAGGCAGAGAGAGGGCCCCATCCCCCACGCCACTACCCCCATCCCTCCCGCCGCCCTTCCCCTCCCCTCCCCGCCCCCGCCCCAGCAACCAGCCACCAGCGCCCACCCCAAACAGGGGGGGGGGGTGGGCTGGGTGTGGGGGGGGGCTGCTCTTACCTCCACCGCAGCAGCATGAGCAGCAAAAACCACCACGGCAACAGCGTTTCACCTTTCATATCCGGCATCACCTTTTTTTCACCTTTGCCGAACCACCTTTGTTTTACCTTTCATATCCGGCATCACCTTTTTTTCACCTTTGCCGAACCACCTTTCTTTTACCTTTCATATCCGGCATCACCTTTTTTTCACCTTTGCCGAACCACCTTTCTTTTACCTTTGTTTTACCTTTTTAATGTTTTAGCTGTTTCCAGAAAATACCAGCAATCGAACGTCACAACACGTAGCCCAAAAACGTGTTAATGCCTCTATGTATTTAATGTATATATACACCTATATATATAAGCAGTTGCCATTGTTTGGAAAACCCTGCAAAAAACAACACATGTCTGCGAAATATCATTTACGAGAAAAGTGACGGCTGGGTTCGGGATGCCGCCAGGACATGGTCCACCACCTCGAAGATGTGCTCATTTGTCATAGTGCGAAGCTGATTTTCCGTGGCGTTCAAAGTTCGCAGGCCTTGGCGGTCAGCGTCTGGCGGCAACTTCTTGAAGCGACTGTAAACGTTGCCGCAGCGGAAGCAAGGCTTGTTTCCTGACTGTCCGGTGCTTCCCAGCACTCCATGCAAAGCCGCTGCATCATACAAGCAATGCGAAACAGCACCATGCACGAAGAGCTGACTTCCGCCGAGCTGGATATTGGCACCCAGCTGCAGATATCGCAGGTGGCGGTACAAACATCGTACAAAGCCAGACAATCCTGCCTTGACGGTTTTCATGGTGACAGTGGGCACAACGGTGAGCACGAACCAGCACATCTCGGACAGGAGGAACTCCTCGAACTCGAGTGCGCTGATGTAAAAGCAATACGCCCTTTGCCGGTTGTCCGGCGCCAACGGGTTGCCGGGCGTCACCTCGTCACCATAAACAGAAAACCGGAGCCTGAGGCTTCCGCCTGCCGCCTTCGCCTGGAGTAGACGCTGGAACTCTGGCGACTCCCGCGCCAAAGCTTCCCAGGCATTGAAGACGTTGAGGACGGGGTACCTCAGCGGCTCTGCTTCCGCAGCCGCTCCCGTGGCAGAAGCTCCCGCAGCAGCCGCTCCCGTGGCAGAAGCTCCCGCAGCAGCCGCTCCCGCGGCAGCCGCTCCCGCGCCGCCCGCCGCTTCCGCAGCAACACCCGCCGCTTCCGCAGCTCGCGGAATCTCCACGTAGTCGTAGAGAGCATCCACGGCGGCCTTCTCCGCTTTCCTCCTTGTTCTGGGGTCCACCTGCTCCCCAGCGAGGTCGCGAACGGCAGACGGCGGAGCATCTCGTCTGGCTGCGTGGCGAGCAACCCTCTCGGTTGTCTCGCTTTCCGGCAGCTTCCGCTTCGACATGGTGAATTCCTATATATCTGTAAACAGGGACTTACACTAAAAATTGCAGATGTGTCTCAAAAATGCTTTCTTGAAGAACTTGCTAAAAAGCATTTCTGTTTATAGTTTTTGAAGCATCTGTCATCGGACCTCCAGGCTATGTCTGCAAGCTTGATTTCACTGCGCTGCAGCGGTTGATGCAACGCCATGCGCACAAGTGAACTGACATGAGACGTGTGAGCAACGTCGGTGGTGGCAACCTCTGCACGTATAGCTGAAGCAGCAGTTCCATGCACACAGAAACAGTTGGAGGCCTCTTTTTTTTTTCAAAGTTCTCTGCCGTCCTGTGCGGTAGCCTCTTCTGGGCATTCCTGTTGCTGCCAAACAAATTCGCGACTGGGCAAAGGCATGCTGCCCTTTCAGGGCTTTCCAGCATGCCTGCTGCCAGCTATAGCCTCTTCGGGCCTTCCAGCATGCCTGCTGCCAGGATTGTGCATGGACTATATTTAGAGTTTGCACGACCTTGTCAAAACAAACTCGTACTATAGAACATATCTATAGTCCATGCATGTCATTCCTGACAGCTTAAAAAAACCCCTTCGTAAAGTCATCAACGACGCTTCCGCAAGTCGTTGATGACTGTGCTCAAGCTGCGCAAAGGGCGGTCCATCACCGCAGCCTCGGAGCCAAGCACAAACTTCACGAAGGAGGCTTCCGCACTCGACACGTCCATGCTTTCCAGCAAAGTAGCCGTGGCGCTCTTGAGCGTCGAGCTTGGTGGAAGCCTGGCTTCCGCCAGCTGTCG